AAATATTAAATAAATATTTAAAATATTTAATTTTGTTAAATAAGATTATACCTTTCTGTCATGCATAGGATTGACAGTATTATGACATGCAATATTATATAGATTTCGCTATACAACAAGCTAGTACTCTTTGTTTGCTATTAATATCACAGTGAGCCTTACACTGTGGATTATTTTTATGACTTGCTATTTATTGTGGGAAAAGCTGTGGCTTTATCATGCTTAAGAGAAAAAAATGTATAAAAGAATGCAAAAATATAAAGTTAGTTCATACAGTTTTGAACCTTCTTAAAGTGTAATAAAAACAATTCAAAACAATGATGGTAGTTTTGTTTAGAAATATTTGTAGCTGGTGGTGACATATTGCAGAGTGCTGGCCATGTGGTGGAGTAGATGCATAAGGTCTTGGACAAGCCTTTCATTTACAACGTATCCCTGTGATTTATTACAGGTAAAACCAAGGAGTTCTCCTTCATCCCCCTGATGGTGTGCCTGGGACAAACCTGTCGTTATTGCCTGCCTTATTATTTCTGTCCTGCTGTGTAATGTAATCCGTGGCTTTTACTATGCAATGGCAGTGTTATGCGTTATGGGATCTGTTGGCCTGTGTGAGATTTATCAAGGCTTCTTTTATAAAAACATGCAGATTAAGAGCCACACAAGCCATTGCTGCTGCTGTCACGGGTAAACCAGAAACCCTTTATCATACAGCAACTGTTGCTGCGTGAAATGATTATTATCTTTCTGTGCCGCCCAACTCAGCGTCCCACATACCTCCACCAGCAGCTGTCTGATGACCGTGTCCTTCCGCCCTTTCTCAGGGGTCTCCACGATGGCGTTCCCGCAGGGCTGCTGGTTCTTCAGGGCCTCAGTGCTCACCGAGAACTCCACCTGCCCTGGAGGAAACAGGGGTCAGCCAGCCCTGCTGGGCAGCGCCAAGGGAATGTGGGTTTGGGTTTGCGTCTGTCCTGCGTGCTCTCTGGTGCATTACAGAGAAGCTTTCCCAAGAGAACTAAACTCTTTTATTAGACTTTTTTTAGACTGTTTTATCTTGATCCAGCTGCAACCTTCCGGGCCACCTCATTCTATGATGAAAGGCTGGGAGAGTTGGGGGGGTTCAGCCTGGAGAAGAGAAGGCACCGGGGAGACCTTATAGCACCTTCCAGTGCCGGAAGGGGCTACAAGGAAGCTGGGGGGGACTTCTTACAAGGGCCTGTAGTGACAGGACAAGGGGTAACGGGTTTAAATTGAAAGTGGGGAGGTTTAGATTGGATATCGGGAAGAAGTTCTTCCCGCAGAGGGTGGGGAGGCACTGGGACAGGTTGCCCAGAGAAGCTGTGGATGCCCCATCCCTGGAAGTGTCCAAGGCCAGGCTGGATGAGGCTTGGAGCAACCTGGTCTAGTGGAAGGTGTCCCTGCCCATGGCAGGGGGGTTGGAACTGGATGGTCTTTATGGTCCCTTCCAACCCAAACCATTCTATGAGTCTATGATGGCTACCCAAACAAGGTCTATCAGCAAGAGAAGTAGTGGAGGTGCAGGTCTTCTAAATCAGTCTTGTAAATCAAATGGTCTTGCTCTGGGAGGTTTCAGAGAAGGCAAGCTTTGATTAAAATATTTCAGACCCAGCAACATTAAGCAAAGACATTCTCAGCTCCACAACAGGAAAGGCTGAGTGCTTTGCATACATTAAGGGAGTTTGTGATTTCTATTTGAATGTTAAGGAAACAATGGCCCAAAACACTTAAATAGTTTAGGACCTGGAAACTTCATTGGACTTCTCACTCCTGGCCTAAACAAGATCATTCCAGACAAGATTGGAGTCACCTAGTTCCTCACACCAAAGATCTGATGTCATCCACAGTTATCTGATCCCACTGTTTTCTTCTTGTCCAGCCTCTTACCTAGAGATCTTGGTGTTACTGCCCAAGCCACAGTTTTCCTTTCATTCACACAGATGCAGTAGGATTCTTCCTGCTTCTCTACTGGTGTAGCCAGGAAATGAGTAGATTCAGCCAGAGACACGCTGACCTGCCGGTTGCACAGAGAGATGTCATGAAGGCTAGCATTGCAGAGAAGCTGGGCTTACTGGAGACAGTGCAGTGCATGGAAACGTGTGGTGGAGATGGTTATACTGTGGGATTGAGAACCTTATGGATGTTGCAGAGCAGGATCTGTATGATAAAGTGGAAAAAAGACTGGGATGTGTACAATCTTAAGAGATTGGTGAGGTAATTGTAGAGAGCTGGACGTGTATCTTTGACAAGGAAATCTATTCTGGGAAAATAAAAAGTATGGACCAGTTGTGTGAGTAAAGGCAAAGTAATGACTACAAACTTAGCCATAAATTAAAGAACTCCCCCTCATGATTAGTTAGGTGAAGAGGTAAAACACTAGCAGTGGCAAAGCTAGTAAGGGAACAAGGGAGAATGGAATAAGGAACCTGAAAATAACAAACAGAACAGGAAAGACAGGGAAATAAGTGAGGGTACATTGAACTGGATGGATCAGTGGCCCTGCTTGTTTCAGCTTCATTCCTTTTAGAATAAAAATCTGCATTTATAAAAAACTGAGGAAAGGTGATAGAGACTTTGTTTGAATCACTTCCCACATTCTATCGTCTTTTTTGTTGGTGAAAGAATGCAGATAAGAATAGTGAAGCTATATAGCTCTGTTCAGTGTCTTAGGGGCAGATGCAATAAACCACAGGAAGTCTGCATATTCCAGCAAATCTGATGTGATAGTTTGTGAGATGTTTATATGAGATGAGACTAAAGGCTGAACAGAGATACCCACCCTGGTGAACCTGGAGTTTCCATGTGGGTATGCAATGACACTGTGGTCTGTGGATAACCCAAGTTTCATATTTCTATAGGACAGTGACATAATTCTGTGATGACAAGGCCAGGCGCCTTAGCAGCAGAGCTTTAGGTCCTGAATCAAACACAGCTTTCAAAACTTTGTTGGAAAAACAAATTCCCCCATCATTAAATACAACAAGAATTCCTACATATGTACACCTATATGTATTTATAGTCAGAGACCAGATATCTGGCTTGGAAATTCATGTTCTAGGTGACCCATTGTAGCTTTCCCTAAGCTGTCAGACTGAGCAAAGTTGTGAATGTTCCTTACCCTGATGCAGGCGGTGAGGTAGTTGAAAACGGTGGCTTTCAGTGTGAAGGACTCACCACGCACTACGGAGTAGGGCATGGTGAGCTCTACAAAGAAGGGCTGGAAGGCTCTGAGGGACACTGTCGGGGACAGGCCAAAGCCCCTCTCTGCTGACGTGCAGAATGCATTGGCTTTCCACTCGGTGATGGTGTCAGGGATGGTCACATCTAGATCAGCATTTCCCTCAGAGCTGAAGGGGGACGGAAAATAAGATTTCAGTTATATTCTGGTGATCATCTATGTTTTTCTCAGCCTACTGAACAACACCTGCTGACAGAAGACTCCTGACGAGCTGGGATATGAGTACTGGCTTTTGCATATCCTTCCAAAGCATTCTGTACTTAGTGGCCTTGAAAAAACCCTCTGTCTACTAGAAATATCCCTCTTACTGATACTTCTATTGAGGCTTAAATATCTTCTGAGGTTTTGCCACAGTAACCACACTCTACATTCCCATAAACACTTACTTCACTGAAACGATATCCCAGATCCATGTCTCAGGGAAGTACTTCCGGACGGTCTCTGCAGGACTGCCATCAATCATATGTTCTGTCATTTCATACTCCAAATCATCGAGCAGATTCATTGCAGTCACTAGCAAATTTGTTCAAGAACAGGAAGAAAGGAATAGATGTGTCAAACAACATTCTAAATCAGGAGGGTACTTTCCTTCCAGGTAATGGTTATTCTTAACTAAAATTTTAAAAATGAAAAAAACCAGCTTTGAAACCTTGCCCGCTGGAAACAAATGTGTTCCTCTGTTCTCATGGCAATATTTCATTTTTCCTAATGTTGCTGCTCTTCTTGTAGAGGTTGGATGGCATTGAGTATTCTTCCCCCACTGCCAGCAAACCCAGCAGTGCCAGAAGAGCCATGTATGATGATGTTATTGATGGTACATTTCTATTGCAATGCAGAGTCAAACGTGGAACTTACTGCCCCCAGATATTACAGTTGCACCTGATTTATTAAATTTGTTCAAAGAATTGATTATGTTCGTACTTGACCAGAAACAGAAGCCACACTTAGCTGTCCCCTCCTCCACCTGAGATTCTTTTGAGAGGAATAAGGGTCTTTGCATCTCCGATCATTAGCAGACAAATGGTTCCAAAACAGGGAGATGCTTTCTTACAGTGTTGCATAGTGTTGTGCCTTATGAAAGGTTTTCCAGCAGCCTTAGATGACTTTACATTTTCTCAAGGCAGCCAGCTGTCTCAGGCCATGCTCTGAAGACAAATAATGCATTTCAAAACCAAAGATCTGATCTGTTATGAATAGAAGACTAGAAACTATCACCAGACGAAAATCTGTCACTGCTTAATAGGAGTTGGGATATTGCACCAGAAAAGTCAGTGACTGGAAGGGATATACGTGAGAGTGTTTTATATAGTCTTTCAAATCTCGGAACTATTCTGGAAAAGAAAAAGGTAATGTCATTATTCTATTTTCACAGTGACTGAAGAGTGATTTCTTCAGTCTCTGCAGAGAGGTGACATGACCTATCCAACCTCTTATAGTCATGTAAGTGGAAGAGCTGGAAACAGAGCCAAATTTCTCAGCCTCTAGTGGTAAAATATCTACCCAGAGAATTGTACCACCTTCTCCTTTAGCTTGGCCCATTTTTGTCCTACTACACAGAATTGCAGAATCACAGAATGGTTTGGGTTGGAAGGGACCTTAAAGACCATCCAGTCCCACCCCCCCTGCCATGGGCAGGGACACCTTCCACTAGACCAGGTTGCTCCAAGCCTCATCCAGCCTGGCCTTGAACACTTCCAGGGATGGGGCACCCACAGCTTCTCTGGGCAACTTGTCCCAGTGCCTCCCCACCCTCGCAGTGGAGAATTTCATCCTCATGTCCAGTCTAAATCTACCCTCTTTCAGTTTAAAGCCATTACCACTTGTCCTGTCATTACTTGCCCTTGTAAAAGCTGTCCCCCCTACAGTTATTGTGAGAATGTGACTTCCTATAAGTAAAGAATTTTCTTAGATTTTCATAGCTGGACTCGGATCTGGTGGAAAAAAGCCTCTACTTAGTGCTGGCACAGTCCATCCAATGCAGGCAGACTGTCTTAGGGCCTACAGGATCCCTGCTCTAGGGATTGGCATGGGAATCACCGGGCACCCACAGCTCTATCCAGGCACACCTGTCTAGCAGGAGATAAGCAGGCAGAGGTGTTTCATGTTCCTGGTCTGAGGTCAGAAGGCAATGATCCTGAATTGGGTATTATCTGACAAGAGAATCTGCTCTGCCTGGTGTAATTAATATTTAAAGACGTAGAGGAAAGGAAAGAAGTAGGGTGGTGAATTTAGGTGAGTATTATATGACAAGAGAATCGCTCTGCCTGGTGTAATTAATATTCAAAGATGTAGAGGTAAGGAAAGAAGTAGGGTGGTGAATTTTAGGTAGTTGTGTTGGAGGTAAAATGAAGCACATACTACCGTAACTCCTTTCCATTATGTGTCCTGGGTAATGCTGGCAGATTTCAGGCTTATGGATCTTGCTGCTAGTGAAGACTTTTAAGCCCAATTCCTAGTAAACAAAGAGAAAGAAGAGCAAAATTATGCAAACACAGTTTTGAAAAGAAACTATTTTTACTGTGTCAAGAATAGATGCTCTTGTGTGTGGTATCGATTAGAATAACAAAGGCTTAAATACAAGTGCCAGATAGGCTGGTTCAACCCAGGTGTTGAGTATTTGTCATGTTATACTCATCCTAAGGCTAAATGTTGGCATGATCAGATGGAAAGCTAAGGCCACAGGTCTACCCTGGGGACATCTGCCTCAGTGAAAACGACATGTGTGAAAAACGTTAGATTGAGGGTACCCAAAAAGTCTTGTGCAGGACTCTCTAGATGGGTGTAGGTGTGTTTGTGGATTACTAAAGTGACTAGTACTTGATTAAAGAGCTGTCTACACCAGACAGAGAGACAACATGCTCAACTGAGGAAAGGTGTATAATGTTATGATAAGAGGGATCACTTCTCAGTACTGTTTCCTTACTTGAGCCCATTCTGTACTAGCAGTGAGGAAAACCTTTGAAGTTTTAATGGTTCAGAGAAGCACTCAGGTACCAATGATGGGCTACATAGGTGCAGAGCCTAGGCCTAGTTATTGTCTTGCATATAAAAGTTAGCAAACTCAGAGTAAAGTTTGTTAAAAAAATCCTTTAGGAAGAGGAGTGTAGACTGTATTCCAAAAATGAATGACAAATTAAAACAAAAGGCTGGAGCTTACTTTGAGAACATCATAGGCATCACCTTCGCCATCAGGAGAAATGGGTGTGTAGACAAATCCATTTAATAATACGTTGTCAAGTGACACACAAGGGTTTATGTTGTCTTCTTCCAGGTAGTAGTGTTTGAAGCTATAACCCCGGATTTCCTTAAGTGGGAGAAGATCATACACCTGGGAAAATGCAAACAACCAGAGAAAAGTGTGGCAGGTCAGCACTTACATGGACACACACACTACTTAACGGTCCTTTGATAAAATCCAGTTTCTAAAAAACAAGTGTCATGGGTCCATCTATAAAAATACATTGTCCCCTGTCCATAATGGTGTTAACTGTAGTTGAAGAACTTGTTTGTTCTTGTATTTGCTCACTGTGAGAAATAACCAAGACCTACAGAGCTGGGAGAGAGCTCGTCTTCAGGCTTCATGAGGAGAACACTCTTGTCCACAGCACGGAGGGCACACAGGGACCTTGGTGAGGTATGGAGTTGCAGGCGTGCGTTGGAGGCAGGAAGACCTTCCTTGGGTAAAAAACTCAGTCTGACCTGCAATTCCAAAAGGAAGTTAAAGCAGCCACTTTTCCAGACGCTGTTACATGCTATTGTGTTGAAGCATCTAGCCTTGTGAACTGAGTTCTGCTAGTGCTGTGCCGCTCTTCTAATATATAATCAGCTTTGACCAATATCATTAATAATAACCAGCAATTCTCTTTCATACTCTGTCTTGCTCCACTTTTTATAGTTACGGCTTTGTATCTTATTCTGGTGTTTTCAGTCACTAATGCCCAGTCAACATCTGATCAGACTATTTCATGAACACATTGTGAATTCTGCCTCCATTCTGGAATTGATAACTGAACTACTGGCCATGAGACAAGCATGGGTTGCATAAACCCTGACATATACTCACTTTACTGGGGAAGCAACTTTCAACCTGGAAATCTGCTGAACTGGCGATGACTTCCCCACTGGGCGAAGTGGTATACACAAGCATCCGTGCCAGGGGAGCAATTGCTGACTCAACAGGGATGGTCAACCGAAATGTCCCGTAAGCTAACAGAGAGAAAAAAGACTAAGCAGCATACAAGAAATTCCAGTATATGCATTTGCTTTCCCTGTATGAAAAGTCAAGTCCACTCATGCTGAATATCTTTGGTTAGAAGGGTCAGGAATATAAGACTGTGGCTGTTGTTGAAGACCTGCATTCAAACAGTGATCATGTAATAGCCAAATGAGATGAGTTTGGTGGGCCTCAGCATGTCTTCTAGATTCTACCCAGTTAACTTCTGGAATAATTTCTCGATGTTCCCAACCCCCTTCTTCCTCAAGCGCCAAGATTTGCAGTCTACAAAAGACAGATGAGGGAAAAACAATAAAAGTCCGCTCTAATAAGTGGCAGCAGTCAAGGTTGCAGAGTGGTTGACAGAATAACTTTGCAAAATTACTGCTAAGCAAGCATTTAGCTGGAACAACCAAGCTGTCACTCCAACCACAGTGGAAAATGCCCCTCTATGTTGAAAGACTCTTCCTAGCTAGGCATAAGCTTCATGTCACAATATGGACAAAGGTGATAGAACATCTCTTGTTATGAGCCAGGATGTTAGTTTAGTCACTGCTACAAGTGAGGATGCACAACCTTCTGTGAACATGCAGCACACATGATCTTTTATCCCCATATACTGTTTATATCCACTGCAGTGCAACTCCTTCTCATAGACTTCCAAAACGTGTCCCTGGTCTCATTGTTGAAAGACGTTTAAAGATTTGTCATAGCCAGCCTCAGTTACTGAAATGTGTAATTCTTGGACATTTACATGAATAAAATTAAGCGTGTTGGTTAGAATATAGATATGTGTGTGTTTGCATGCTTATAAGGGAGAAACAATACCCAAAAAATTAAGGGAAGAGAGAGAGAGAAAGAAAATGCACTGGGACAGGTTGCCCAGAGAAGCTGTGGATGCCCCATCCCTGGAAGTGTCCAAGGCCAGGCTGGATGAGGCTTTGGGGAACACGGGCTTACGGGGAATATAGAGATGTGTGTGTTTGCATGCTTATAAGGGAGAAACAATACTCAAAAAATGAAGGAAAGAGAGAGAAAGAAAATGAGACATGTTCTTCTTTCTGCTTACTGTACATGTGAGTCTCCCAACACTGGTAAGCATCCACAATCTAAATAGGGTAGAGTGGTCAGCAGAAGCTGTTGGTTTGAGGACAGTTGCCAAAACATGCATATTTTTTGTTGAATTTTCTGAACTTTTTTGGTCAAAAAATAGCACTTGACGGATCTCAGAGAAAACAAAACTAACCTAAGTCACTTCATTGAAAAAAAAGTTAATTTTGAAAATTAAACATTAAATGTTTGAATTGAAATAACTTCTCTACATTCCCTCTACCCCCAAATCATCATCAGAGATGCTAAAAATGCATAGTTCTGCTCACCTTCTCCAGGATTCACAGTCAGATCATGGGTATCTGCTAATTTAATGCCTCCCTTGGCCATCACCTGTGTGACAGAGAAACCTTCCTGTAATTGTTGCAAGCAGTGTTGAAGGGAAGGAGGATGACTGTTCACAGGGTTAACTATAGAGTGTGCATATGAATAGCACTGCCAGCTGTGAGAAGAACCAAGTGCCAGACTAGAATTTATGCAGTCTTTGGAGACAAAAATACTCACTCCTAGGGGGATCAACAGTTCTCATTGGTCAGACCTGATTTCTCTTTTGTACATATTGCATGCATACATCAGGTTCAAATGCACTTTGTCCCTAAGCACACATGTTTTGGGGTCATATGCACATTTTTAACAATTTGGAATAGGCTGAGGATCAAAAGTTCATCTCATTCCTTTCTGAGTTGCATCGTGAAACAGTCTGGGGAAAAACTCAATCAGGATTAGTTTCATAACTCATACAGAGTTGGAATAGAAGAGCACAGACTGTAAATAGTGAGTTTGAATAAGGTACCTGAAGTCAGGCAGTAAGCAACAGCCTGAATGCTAGCTGTAATTTCCTCGTTTCTGAAAAGTTTCCTTTTTCACAATTAAAAATGCCTTTCATACAATTACTTTCCATGTAGGATATCTATTATGTCATCATAAATCAAAGTAACCACAAACAATTCTTACCAAATAGTAAATGACGATTTTCTTCTGCTCTCCTATGGCCTCTGGTGTGAAGATATAGTGCACCTGGACCTCCGTGGGGAAGCCACAACTTAACGTCTCAGGCTTTGGCTCAATTTTGAGGAAGCTCTTACTGGGGGAGTAAAACCGACTTATTCTACGTATGGCTTGCTCATATGAAGGTGTGATCCAGTCGCTGTCATAACAGTTCAATTCAGGTTTATGATCAGCCTGATAAAGAACAATAGAAAGTTCACAGCTGACCAAAAGACGTAACAAATCACATGAACCTCCACAGAAAAGCTCTGGGTATTTTCTATATTTCTCAGTCTTAGAAGAAGGTAGAGAACATGCACAGGAGACAAAGAAGAGAGGTTACCTGACACAAAACTTGCTTTATTTTCCAATTCACAGAAAGACTGATAACCCACGGATAGATATTTCCCCTGGTGATCAGAAAGACAGAGGCTTACCCCAGTCTCTCTGCCCTCTCTCTGCCACTCACTCGGATTTCCAGGGAGGCTTGTGTGAAGGTGGTAGTGTCTATGGAAAACCAGGATTGTCCCTGCTCATCTGTCGTGTAATTCCCTTTGTATTTGTCTCCATCCACAGAAATCATGATGGTTTCATTGGCGAGTGGAGCATCAGTGCCATCTACCAGCTTCACCTAACAGCGCAAAAACAAACTTCAGATTTTAGACTAGAAACAGAAAACAATTCCCAAGTCCTAAAGCCTCTTCCCTCTTTTCTTCCTTGCCAGGCAGGATGTTTCTTACAGAGAAGAACAAAAGACATGAATGTGGAAATGTGTGGGGTGAGTCCTGAGTTGTCTGTGGCAGCAACTGAGAAAATTCTCAGTGAAACAATCTGATCAGCCCAGGGAAATCATCTGTCAGAGCCCTAAGTTCCTCAGCAGGTTTTAATTCCCCTGGCCAGCCTCATCTGGGACCTACACCACATATCATCTGCCTCTTGGTTCAGGAACTCTCAGTTCAGGCTTGTGCCTTGCCCCAGTCCTTGACTAAAGATACACTGGAGGTAGATCTATGCCCAGCTCTTTTTCCTGCTGTTCCCACCTGGTTAACCAAGAAAGTCTGCTTCCTTGTTTGAGCTTAGCCCTGACTCATCACCTCTCGTTTTCTGGTGGTCGCTGGAACCTGCTACTGTCACCACCCCTGCTCTGCTCAGACTGATTGGGTACGATGAGACTGTGTCCTAGTTGATGAGGTCACTACGCCTACCTGTGTTGGGGTTCACCCTTTGCTCCTGGATAATGTTGCCTTGTGGAACAGCCCACACTTGCTGCTCCCTGATGTTATTCTCATGCATCAGAACAACCAGCCTTCTATTATGCAATGGGCTGACTGCCAGGATGTCCAGGGCCATGTGTGGCCTAACTGAGAGTAATTCATCTGCCCGTGCAAAGGCAGAGTAAGGTGGACCATGCCATCTGCACACTGCTATTCCATTTGATGGGACTGTGCACTTGTGAGTTTGCTACGCCACTCATTGTCCAGGGAGTCAGAAGTTCCCTACCCTCCCAAAGAGTGGGATTCCTGGTCTGTACTGAGAGTCCAGCAGGTCAAAGCTGACTTTGCTCATGAGGGATGTGATTTCACAGGAGCCTGTTCCAGTCATCTCTATTCCTGAGAGAGAGTACAGTAAAGAGGGATTATTAATTATTCGTAGCATTTCTAGACATGTCACTTCATCTTTCCCAGGCTCTCCTGTTATGGCCTGCTGTCACTTTGCCATCTCCATGTGATACATACCTGTGCCATCTTCTGTCATCTTGCCTTGTGCCTCAATGCTCATCTTATATCCTCTGCGCTGGAGCTGAAATATCTTGGTCCTTACTACACCAGAAACACACCCACGAGCATCTGCCTAAGCAGGGAATTGGAAAGAAAATTGGAATTCTGTGAAAAAAATTGGTGCCTTGTGGGAGAGGAATAGATACTCCAAACCCAACATGCTTAACTTCTGTTCACAAAATCCCAGCCTTATGGTCTAGGGTTATCTCCAAGACCAGAACTTGTTTATAGCCTGTTTCCTAGTGTTTCATCTACACATTTTCTGTGTTCTGTGATGTACTTGACACCAGTTCTCCAAGGCATGCACTGGTTTCCTTGCTAACTCCCTCCCATCTTACTTGTGTTTTTCTTCCCGTTTCTTCTGTTGTCCTCACTCTTTTCCTTGTTGCCCTTTCTCCTGTTTTTGACCCATGTACGATACAGTCTTCTTGTTTTCTCCTCATCTTCTTTGCTCTTTGCTCCCTCGCAGTCCCTCCCACAGTGACAGAATTCTTTCACAGATTCTTTTCTTAGTTTAGGGTTCAGTAGAGGGACCTCACAGCTGCTAACTGGAGATTCATCACTAGTTTCAATGAGGTCAGGATTTCGGCCATGGGGTTTTCTTCATCGGTTCTGTTTCCAGTTTAATGACAAATCTTAAGATTGCCCACCTCTGACAACATCTGCTTTTCTCCAGATAGAGTGCTACCTCTGATGTCCCAATATCTCCTAACAGTCACAGATTTGGCCTACTTTAGACAGCATTGCCCATTACTCATAAGAAAGACACCAACATTTTAACCTTGAGACCCACCTGCCTAGTGAATTCTTCACACACAGCTTCTGCTTCTTTTCCATAACAATTTGAAGCAGAATGTGAAAATTTCCGGCACACTTGGACATTCACCAAACCAGGAACAGGTTTCCCATAGGTGTACCTATAATCACAAATTGTTAAACAACATATTAGAGGATGAGTCAATCAGTCAGAGTCACACTCAGACACATCTCCTTAAGGACCTCTGTGGATGACTTCCTAGTATTTCTTCTTAAAGGCTGACTAATCTGATATTTTAATGATTATAGTGATTATGTTTCCATCCTTTCCATGGAGAGATTCTTCCATCGTCTCTTAGAATCTGTTCTAGGTGGGAGGTCTCTGTAAGAATGCAGTAAAAGATTGTCTGTAGAAAATTTTTCCAGACAGGTGTATCCTTGTATCATGAACTCCTGAGGGTTCAATGAAGAAGTAGAAAAGCAACCAGGGACTAATGAGGACCAATTTATGAGTTAAAAATGAGAACACTGCATTTGCACCTCCTGTTTAAGTTATGTCTGATCTGACATCTCTGAGAACTTGAGGGTTCAGGATTGGCAGAGAAGCTTTAGCTGAAGAAATGTAAAGACAGAAAGAGAAAAGTACAGTAAACTGTGAGGAGAGGGCTGCAGATTCATTTGACATCATCTTTTAAGGAACAACAGTTCAGGCCAAGTAGCAGGCTCAGGTTTGATAGGGTGGAACAAGCCTGCACTGGATGTCTGGGAGAAGTATGGAAAGCCTTCCCCAGCTCTTCTTTTGGTCCTCATCAGAAAGGAGGATTGAAGGATGAGCGAGGGAGATTCACTCCAACCCCATGACTCACAGTCCGCAGACAGACACTGGAAGCTCCATGTCCTTAATAGTGATCATCTTGGGCAGCTTCACCAGGACCTCGTACTTGGGCAGCACTAGATGGAAGAGAGAAGGTCTGATATGGAAAAAGTGGAGAGGTGCGTACCACACAGCGACCCAAACACAGAGCCAGGATCATCTTAATATGAACCATAACCTCTCTGTAGTCTTCAGTACAGTTCTGCTACCCCTTTCTTAGATTTTCTCAGCCTTCACCACTGGTTTTGGTTTAAAGTGAATTTAAGGAGGGTTGTAGCCCTTACCTTCCCTCATTTGCAGTACATGATCCTGTGATCCCATTGGCACCACATAGTTCTGTAGATCCCTTGCATATGCCCATTCCGAAGGACACACTATCCCCGTGTGTTGTCTTCCATGTTTCACGATACATAATCTAAAACTAAGACTTGGAGTAGCACATTCACCACCTATGTCATCTACCACATTGAAACGACTCGACTAATTGATTCTCTGTGTCTGCTTTTTAGTGTTCTGGAGATCCCAAGCTGGTGTTAGGCTCACTAATACGTAGCATGTGAAACTGTCCTGTATGTCCAGACTGTTACAGTGAATCTAGCCACGGAGTCTCAGGTCTGTATTTTCAAGTGGACAAGGCAGCAATAAAGCCCAAAATAAAGGCTGGCAAGTAAAAGGCATATTTTGCTCCTCAGTATTAAGTTACATCCCTCTTCCCATATTGCATCCTGCAACCCTAAGCCCCCAGCTACTCAAGCCCGGGACTGGACTCAAAGTATGTGATGGCCTACTTCCAGGTGGTGCGCCTGAGGTTTTTTCCACAGTGCAAGGAAATAAGAGGAGGGAGAGAAAGCAGCCTTGGGTTATACAGTTTAGACATAAATTTGCCTCAAGGATGGGAGGCAAAGCTCAATGTTTCAACACTATGGCACATTTCCTCAAAAGAGAATTAGTAACAGGAGAGATTCATGGGAATAAGACGAAAGGACAGATAAAAGAAAAATTACTTTAGTGTGAGGCTAAGAAAGAGACATACATTTTTGATTTTGGGGGGCATTTAGGGTGATCTTTGTTGGAGGAGCCTGTGTGTCACCATGGCAGGCGGAAGTCTGTAACGTGCTTTGTGTTCAAATTATTCACTATGTTCACACTAGCTACAATGCCTGACTTTGAACCAAAGAAGCCAGCACCCATGGACTCCAGTGACAATATTCTTTGGGCCTGCATCCTGCATATTCCAGAAATAGCAGGTTCTGAGTAACATGCTGAGTCATTTGGGCTTCATGTACAGCCAAGGGGAGCCTGGGAGTGGGGAGCACAGGCCAAGAGGCCTCCTCAAACTCATAAAGCCTAGCCAGAGTACGTGTCTACAAACACCTGAGAAATTTTATTACAGAACTGGGGGTTAGAGGGCTCCCTGGGGCAGCAGATTCTCCTTGCTCAGTCTCTACTACCAGACGGTTTTCATTTGCTGGTAACATTTGTGGAGAGTTCTTCAAACTGAAGTTTTCTACCAAAGGTATTCTCTAAGCTTTTGCAGAAACAAGGAGGATGAGGAAAAAGAGAGAGGACCACAGTAAGTGGAGAAACAGAACTGATGAAGATGATAACAGAGGAAACCCAGGGTCACCCAAATGTTGTCATCACTCTGTATCTAGTGCTCCTTGCAACAAGCTGCAGGACTGAAAAGTGACTAAACCAAAGCCAGGTGAAATTGGTGCCACAAGCCATGCACAGGAAGCCTGGCAGACCCTGTACTCCCAAGAGCATTACGAGTAAATAACAAGCTCAGGCAGGTTGCAGAGATGCCCTGAGGTGAGCAACCATCTCTGATACTCAGCACCTTCTGCATCAGCCCCTTTGAACCCCATTGCCAATGTATTCTGTCCCTCCCTTCTCCATGCCATTCCCAGGAAATCCCAACTCAAGACATCACAGTAGAAGGCATTTCGGTCAGCCCCACCTGCAGCCCATGCCTCCTCTCCTTACCATATTCCTCCACGCTGAAGGAGTGCTCCACGTGGGTTGTGAAGCTTTTCTGCACAACTATTTTGTAGGAGCCTTGGATGGGGTCAGATGTGAGGGGGAAGGAGAGCTGCGTAAGGCCGGTCTCTAGTTCCACCCCTTGCCACTGGTACACACGGTTCCTCTGGGGATCCTGCAGTTGAGGATGACCCAAGGTTACAAGACAGGAGGCACCCAGGGACAGAGCAGTGGAGCACCCAGTATATAAACATCCTGGCAGGGAAATGCTTAGCTCTGATTATTCACTCATCTGTGAGGATCTGTGAGCACTTACCTGTCAGTTCTCCATAACTAGCTTGCAAGAAAGCTTTTTAAACCTGGAGGTCCTGTGCTGCCTCCCCCTCAGTTTCACCTGCATGCTTGGGAAGGACGGGGCCAGGAAGCTGGGAAAGACAGACTGTCACGGTAACAAGACAAAGAGCTGGGCAGCAGGAGTAAGTGGAACACAGGGAGAAAAGAGGGAAATTTCAGTCTCCTTCACTTGCTATGGAGCCTGATAAAAGTCTTTTTTCCATGCCTGGAATAAAGACTGTGTGAGTACCAGTGCAATAATCTTGAGGAATGAGACAACTGTTCTGTTAATGGGACTGAGAAATGTATACATGTATGAGTCCAAAGCTTGTGGTGGGGTGGTGGGGATAAGGACGGGAACAAAGGAAAGTATATCCCCCACATGTGCATCCGACTAAGACCTCTCTCTTCTTGTCTCTCCTCACTCCTAATGCTGGAGCTCAAACCTCATCACTACTATTGCTCAGTATTGCTCATTATGAACTAACTATCAATAGGCCGTGGTCCAAATTCATCATTGCAGTCCCAAATTTCTTGTAGAAGTCACTGAGCCAACATGGTGGTGCTGCGTGGTTTGATTCACCCTTTCCAGGCTCCTCAATAGGATGGTTAAAGTTTACAGTCTTTCATTTTTTGCCTGCTCTTTGCATTGTACCTTGGCTGTCACCAAAAGTCAATTTACTCTAGATAAGTATGTGACTCAAGGTATGTGACTGTGCATTTACTTCACTGAGATTTTATCTCAGGGCTTGGGGAAACAGGGATGTGAATGACATCCCCCAGTTGGTGGTCACCAGTCAGAGGGCAGAAGAGTGGGACTTCTTCCAGAGAACCACCGGAGAGGAAAGCACAGTCACTAAAACACAGCTGAGAAAAATCCCACGGCTCTGACCAAATCCTCTTCATCATCAAACTTCGACCCTGCTGAAAAGCTCACTACTTACTGGGAGGGACACCAGCGGGCTTCCTTGGGGGAGGAATTCAAGAAATTGTTTACAGCTGGGATTATGAACTTGTCATTTCTGTGATGTATTTGTAGGTAAAGCCTGAAAGTCAGTTTGTTTGTTTTTCCTCAGAAAAGTTTTGTTTTTTTTTTTTTTTTTTAAATGACAGACTCAGTAGGTCAGGATAATAGTTCAGAGATAATAGGCTCATACTAACTTCTGCCTTTGTGGCTTACTATGATCAATTAGTGACATTAAGGGTTGGGACTGATAAACATTTATTTTCTTAGCACTGACTTTAAGCTGTCACCTTTATTCACTGCTGTCACCCTTCCCTTTGAGCCAGTCCAAATTTCATGCACACATGTAAACTGCACTGGCAGATCTGATCTGACCAAAAAAATACCTTAGATAAAAATGGTGAGTCTGATGCCAGATGAGTTTCCCAGTCTACCAGACTGCCTCATAGACACCTGTGAAACCCAAAGGCTAATTCTGGACTGAGAATGAGCAGCGAGGAAGGGAGAGGTGATGGTGGGGATGGAGGATGAGGCCTACATAAGCTGGCTTAATGAGCACAGACAAACACCGTGCCTCATGGGCTGGAGCTGAAAACACAGGATAGTCTTCCTAGTGATTTAAAGTTGAAGGCTTTCATGGTATTGACACACCAAAAAAAAGGTTATGAAATTATTCACCCTGTTAGGCAAATGCATATGGGATTTCTGGAGGCAGTAGATAGGATTTATATCTTCTTGTTTGCTTCATGAAATTCCTGAACATAGCCCATTTCTGGCCCACCTTCTGCCTCCCCTGTTGTGACAACACTCCCAGCTCTAGAGAGAGATGGGTAGAATGGAGACAGCAACCCCAAGCAACAAGAAGCAATGCCAGGTCAGACTACGTAGGATCCATAATCACACGAACCAATTTAAGATCTGTGCACATTAATTTCAGCATTTGTTGAGCTGCTATCATAGTTCCAGTGTCCATCACTGGTTCCTTCCCATCAATTTTTCACTAGAAGACATCCCAGATAATAATTGTAAATTCTGGTTTCTCAACTGAAAAAGTGGGTACTTGAATCATTTACAGAAACATCCTTCCTATTAACTTTTGTTGTCAATGAAGTTCAACCGTTCAAAAAAGAAACAGACAAAAAGCACATGCTTGGGAAGACAGGGGATGTCTACTTACATAATTGTGTTTCTTTAGTTATTCTAGTTTGTTTAGTGCAATCCTGTGGTTTCAGGCACACTGGACAAATAGAAGATCTTAGTTCTGCTTGGCAAAAGGAATAAGCCATTCTGATACAACCCCTAGGCAAGTGTAATTCTGTTCACAGTAGGCTTGCTCTGATTAACCATTTTGGTCCTACAGCACATTCCCCAGTCAAAGGACCATTGTTGGAATTTACTTTGATACCCAACTACTCAGCCTTTCTTTACACAAAGGAAAAAGTTGGGGTTTTTTCCCTTGCATCTCAGCCTGAAAACACGACTGCTGGAGACTATCATCTCTGTGCCTGCACATTCAGCTGAAATAATATACATGTAGTTATCCACTCACCTGAACATAGACAAATGGAAACTGTGGGGAAAGAACAGAGGAAAATCAGAGTTAGAAATACGGGTCCCATTGGGAAGGAAGCAACTTCCAGATTTGAGCAAAAAAACAACCTTCTAAGAAGTCCTTTGGATTCTCCCCTTCCTGTGCTTGCTCTATGTCCTTAGCTCTCAATGGTTAAGGGAATATTTACGAATAATATATTAGAGCCCCAACTTTCTGTCTTATGTCAGTATGAAAATATCATGAAGAACTTTGAAAATATCAAAGAACTTGTCTGCATGTGGACCTGATTGCCAAATAAGCTAAAAGGTGGACTTACACCCATGACCAGTTCCTTAAAACCAAGTCCTTGTCATGGTCTTCTCTTTGCCTCTAAGTATGTGGTTGCTTAGAAACTGCCAGAAACAACCGCACGTCTATCACTTTCAATGGAAACTTGTCCCACCCATTTTTTCAGTAATGAGATCCCTGCCTACATAACCCTATACAACCATTTGCAATTCTGGTTTTAAACACCCTTTGAAAATGGAGATAGGTTTCTCAGTCAATAGAGACAGGTGGAGAGTGTGCCAGGACAAAGAATGGAATAGGTCAAGGTTGGTGTGAGTAAGAAAGCATCATATGCTTTAAAGGCTGTCTTCAGTGGTTCTGGATGATGACAGTAATGGTGTTAATTGGTAATTAAGCGATCTGGTTAGCAACAAGGAATTATGGCTCTACCTTCTCATTCAGTGGGTAGAAGTCTTTGTCCAGAGAGACGATCCGAAAGAGAACTGAAGGGTGTAATGGAAAGGAAATTCCACTGTTAAATTTGTAGCCATTACCAGAAAACATCAGTGTTTCAATAATTTATAACTCAGATTCATTCCACTGATGAATGAACAGGCTCTGAATTGAGATCCCTAAGTTATGAAAGTAGTTACTTCAGGCTCTTTCTCTTGCAGACGGTGAGAGGCAGATAAATTCAGAAGCATAATCAGGTCTTGGCTGAACTGAGTTGTCCCTTGGGAGTACCTCTCCTGCTTTGTTGATTCAGGTGCAGCCAAGGGATGCTATGCTTCGAAGTCATCCCAGATTCATGCCTCTAGTTGAGCAGAATGAATCTGAACCTGTGCCTACATCTGGCTGAGATGCTGTGCCTGGAGGATGGAGAAGTGATGAAGATGATACATGCCCTAGATCTCAGCTGACATAAATAAGATTTACTGTGGGACTTAACTCCCCCAGTGAAGAAGTCTGAAAGCTTTAATAAACATACGGGGCCTCTGGGGAATGAAGCCCATAAGATTTTCTGCTGTCAGAGTCAACCTCGACCCAATTCCCCGTACCTGTCTGTCCAGGCTTGTAGATGGGTTTGTCTGTCTGGATGAAGACCAAGCTCTCAGAATTCTTGACCAGCACCGACTTGCGGCTCCTGAACTGCAGCGTCGCCCCCTTCACCATCACAGTGAGAAATGCCACTGATGTGCTATTAGATTTTGGAAGCTAAGGAAAATGAAAAGGATAACTTCTTTGCTGATTCACCCCATTGCACTAAGCCTTTGAAGAACAGAATATTAGCTAGGTCTGAAAGTTCTCTACAGGGACACCAAAGACTCAGTGCTGAAAACAAGAGAAAAACATGATTTTCTGATATTAACTTGGAGGGCTTATCTCCTCTGTCTCAAGAAAATAATTTTTTTTTTCAGGAATTGTTGCAGTGATAGGTCTTCTCCATTTCCTTGAGCTTTCTCCATGCTGCTTCTTCCTCTACTTCCAATACTGGAAGTGTTTTCCCTTCCTTTATTTATACACTTTCCTCAGAGATATGTTGAATCTGATCTTGTTCTTATGATTTATGAAAATGGAAACCAACCCAGATTCATTATTTAGGGGGTGGGACCAGTTGCTTACATTACTCACCAACCAGCCTTCTCCAGGAAACAATCATGAATAAGCTCCAGAAGGAGACAAATAACTGCATGGACCTCACTGTCTTTAACCCTTCCCCAGTTTCTACAGTTCTCATTCCATTCTGCTATTTTTCCTCTGAGGCTTACACAGAATCAAGCAAACATGAGGTGTGTTCGGTCAGTCAAAGCTCTAGGATGAAGGATCCCAAAAGAGTTCTTTAAGCTCTGCATTCACAGAAATATCATGGGGGACACAGAATTTGATAGTGGTGGAAAATTATTCCTCATAAGGCTGCTACAGTCAATTTTCCACATCAAATTCTATTTTTATTTGGCTTAGCAATCTCTGCAACGTGTTATTTCTCATTTCTGGACTGTTTAGATCTACTGCAACACAACAATAAACACAAGGGATCATCCAACAAGGATGAGCTACTCACAGAGAAAGGAATGCAGGTGAACACGTCCTTCTCCGACACCACGTCATCAATCAAGCTCCTGTTTTCCCCTTGATACTCGAGTGTGGCACTCAGCGTCACAGACTCATTCAGGTGGGTCAGCTGAACACAGACTTTCTCTGGAGAATCGGTGTGTATCAGAAAGGGCAGTAGCACCATATACTGCCTAGGAAGAGAGGGAAGCAAGGATCAGAAGGATCAGAAATGTGAAACCGTTTTAAGGAAACAGCATTAAGTGCAAGGAAATTAACAAATCCGCATGCCTAATCCATTACTGTCCCGTGAACTGCAATTCATATACACATGAACATTTATTTTATTTTGGGTTTATACATCTCAAACTGCTTCATTAATTAGCCTGGAAGCAGGAAAATGCTTGCTGTAGAAGGAACAATTTCCATGCTAATAGAGAGTCCTTTACAAAGGATGCTTTGTTCAGCTTCACAGCAGGGAGTAAGGATGGTGTGAAAGGTTCCAGGCAGTTAACTGATTTTTTGTATATCCTACAATCTCCTATTGAGACTCAAAGGCATTGGCTAAAAAAGGTTGAAAATTCAGCAGTTTTAGGGTTAAGAAAACCACCAACTTGTCTGGCTGCTCCTGTCCTTGCCTATTCAGGTTTCCAAATCCTTCCCATGCTGAGCAAAAATGTGACTGCTTGCAGTTTGGGACCTTACTGAGATGAGCACACAAAGAATTTCAGAGAGAAGTGGTTTATTGCAACATAAGTGTACTTGTATCTTCAAAGAGCTTTTGACAAAAGTCCCTCACAAAAGACCCTTAAATGCAGAGCCATTATCCAATAGAAGACATAAATTTACTAATTTTTACTAATAAATTAAATTATTAATTCTGACCCTGACCTGGAGTAACTGTTTAAAAGACAAGACACAAAGGTTAAGAACCAGTGAAAATATCTGGAGTCTGTGTTGGGACTCCCGTTGTTCAGTACACTGATAAATGATCTGGGAACTACCTTTTTCTGGTAATTGCCCAGGGTAAGAAAAAATCTAAAACTGACATATATTTATGGAAATTTTTTTGTCATATGGTGAGACTGTGTAGCAAGAATGGCAAATGAACTGTTCATAAAGGGAAAATAATCAACAGAGAAAGAAAAAGTTACCCCAACAGTATATATGCTATCCTGTATCACTAAGCGCACGATTCCCACTCGGACATAAGCGCTGTTGATAGAGCCTGGGTGTACCTGTCCTCCTTCAACCGCTACATCTTGCAAAAGCCTTTCAGTGACAAATAACAAATGGACTGTAAGGAACTGTTCAGAAAGGAATAGAGGACAAATCAAACCATACTGTTTTACCATTGCATAATTGCAAGGTACTTCCACACCTCGCATATGGCGTGCTGGTTTGCTCCCATTTAAAAAATGGATTTATCAGAAAAGATTCAGTGAAAGATGGCAGAGATGATCTGAAATCTGGAATTATTTCCATAGAAGGAGACAGTACATAGATTAAGAGTCTTCATCATGGAAAAAGACATAACAAGAAGCTATAAAGTCATGATGTGTGCAAAATAAAGTACAGTTTGTAACTCACAGCAGGTGAAAATATTAAGCAGCCGGCTCAAAAATGGAAGGGAGAAAAAAAATTTTCACTTATGTACAAAACTAAACCAAGGAACTTCACGCTACCAGGTGCTGTAAAATCCAAATGTACAAGCCTGTTATGTCCAGCCTGTGGCTCTTGAGACTTCTTGGTGCTCTCAAGGGGTTGAAGGAGGACAGGTACACCCAGGCTACATCAGGTGATAGAAAACAGCTGATGTCCTTCCTTGGGTGGGGAACAAAAGGATCCAGCAGGTGCCACTGAGTTGAATAATTAGTGCCTTATCTCATAATTAGGGCCTTACCACAGTACTGGCCTTGTTCTACACTGTCTCTCAGCACCTAAGACTGACCATCAGTGCAGACACAATACAGAGCCAACGTAGTCCTTTGGTCTGATGCTGGACTGTTTTTATGGGCCTGGTATTCCTTTTTCCATGTGTACATTCAAGATACCCAGATGCAGCAGCAAGAGGTTGTGGTGGCGATTCAGTCTGCAGGGTATCACTGTATGAATGGGACAAAGCCTGTGTTCTGCAAGCCCTCCACCGCGGAGGAGTAACGTGCACCTTGTCAGATGGTGCTAGCCATGAGGAAAGAGCTTTTGGGAAGTCCTAAAGCTACTGTGGAGGCAGCGGGACGCAGGCAGTACCTCTGTTTCCCTTACCACCAGGCAACAGGATAAAGTGTGGTGAGGGGCTAGCCAGCAGCTCTGGTCAGTCCGTGCTGCTGCAGAAGCAGTGAAAGGAGGGAGCTCCAGCCACCCAGGGAGTGAGTTACAGTTTGTTCCACTCTGCTCCAGTGCTCCACTTCCTCCACAGTCTTTTCACCACAGCTTCACCCCACGCCTGCTTCCCCTAATCTTATTGCTGCTGCCCCCTGGCAATCTGACTTTGACATGTAGCCTGCTGAAAGGACAGCATGACCTAGTTTGTGGGGAATTTGGCCTCATTCCTCTTCCTGTTCACTGTTCCGCTGAAATTTTGGCCAACGCACAGAACTTCCCCCTACACCAGTGTTGCTGCCTTTGAAACAAGGATATGAAATGCACTGTTTATAGACCTCCCTTTAGCTGTTTTGGGATGTGTTGGTGTAAAGAGCTAGATGAATTGAAGTACTATGAGTTCATTAAATAACTTGGGTCCTAAAGCCCATGTATAGACATTCCAGTACAACAAGCATTTGGGTTGCCAAAAGAGGCCTCAGCAGCCTCCCTGCATGCAATGAATTGTTCTGGCAACAGAGGCAGTGATGCTGTCAGAGGCACATCAAGGAGGGATAGGCGATCCTAGAGAAAGTGGTTGAGGCAAAAATGTTGAGTTTGTACAGAGAAGGTAATAGTTTAAGAGTGTATTGACCCTCAGCTGCTTCCTAGAACAAACACCCAAAGACCTAGTGAGCTCCATCAGCTCCATCAGTCCAAATCCACACCTGCCAATTCACGTGCCATCGAGACCTTGCGTTTCTGACTACATGCAGTGTATTCCCAAGCATATACACTGCATTATAAGGCAACAACATAACAGAATAGGAGAACAATACCACCTGTTGAATTCTTCCAAAACAGACCCAGAGCAAGAAAAAAACCCCAAAATTCTTGCTGTCAGTATATTACAGAACCCCTAAAGTTTTTGGCAGGTAGGGACCTCTGGGTGTCTCAAGTCCACCATCTCTCCTTGAACAGGACTGTTGGCAAAGGTCGCCATAGATGGCGTTTTCACCAAAGGGGTCACCCATTCCAGTGCTGTATGAACCTGGTGAATAAGTTTTTTTCTACTCTCCAGTCTGAACCTTAATTGTGTCTCCTGTGTAGCCGGCCACACCTGAAGCAGCAATAGCAGCAACTGCTGCTCAAGGAAGTTACCTCCTCACTCATCGCAGGCACAGGAAGCAAGCTTTGATTGGAAGCTTCATTTCCGTGCAAGGGTGGCTTCCCTTCTGCGTTGTATGCAGCAGCTGACCTACCCTGCAGCACTCGAAACAGAACCACCACCCTCCCACCGCCCTCGCAGTTCACTGCTCATACTCTGCTCCCTCCCTCTCTGTGCATCTCAGCTATGCCGCGCTCCCCACCACCTCTCTCAGCCCTTCCTCCTCCTCCCCTCCCAGACCGTGCTCGGTTCAGGGACAAGGAGCAGCGTGTTGCTCACAGGAGAGGACGGAGCAGTACGTATTCATCCCTGATCCTAGGCAGGGATACCATCAGAGTACTGTGGGGAAACCACAGAGCTCAGCCTGTCCCCAAAGCACTTTCCCGGCTGATCTGTTCAGAAGCACCCAAACAGGGCAGATAACGAGGGTTGATGGTGCGGTGTGTCAAAGGTCCTTCAGCCTGAGCCAGGCACACCTCTGACCGCAGTGTCAGCGGCAGCAGCACCACGGCACCTTCCGCCAGACCTGCCCGCGTGACCGCCGCGCTTGCGGGCTCGAGACCTCTGCGGCAAGCACGGCGGGGTGAGCGCCGCGCTCCCGCCCACTGGAGGCTGCCAGCCCCAGGCCCCACGCCAGAGGAAGAAAATCTAGGTCACGGATCCTCTTTGGGAACAAGCACACCTGATGCTGCCAAGGGAAACAAAACTGGCTTGAAAGAACGGGAGATAGGGGAGCAAACTGCCTTGAAAGCAACGGGAGAGTGGGGAGAAATAACTCCGTTATTGACACGAGGACACTACAGGGAAGGTAAGTACATAAATTCTGGCATCATGCCCCCAGAAACGCAGACACCTGAAGGTTTCTAGGAAGGAATATACTTAGGCAAAGGTGCGAGGATCCGGGGCTGGACTAGCAGGCAGCTGCAGAGCAGGAGTGTGGGCACTGGCAGAGCTGTGCGTGGGTCCCAGGGCTGGACAACCAGGGAGCTACAGGGTGCCCGTGGGGAGCAGTGGCAGAGCTGTGCAGGAAGCTCAGCGCTTGGCTAGCATTGGGATGCAAGGCAGGAGTGGAAGAAACTGGCACAGTTGTTTTAAGAATGACAGAAAGGTAAAATATTGATGGAAAAAAGGAGCACTAAGACCTCCCTCCCCCCTCCACACGTGTAGCTTACGGTTCTGTGGTGGGAGAGGTATTTCCAGGAAGGATGAAGAGCAGAAGGAGGAAGACGTTTGGTTTGCTGGGCAGCCTGTCTTTCCCCATGCTGCAGAGCAGGTCGTGGTCAGTCAAGCAGACACCCAGCCTGGTCCAGTGCTGCTGGTTTCCTGCACCTTGTAATTCCCCACCACGCTCTGCTGGGTCAGCCTCTTTATAACTGCTCTCTGTAAACAGCCCAGGGGCCGGAGGAGATAAGGGCTGGGGGCCAGGACCCATCAGGAAATGGGGAGAGGCATGTAAGGAGGAGCTGGAACAGAGAGGCAGTATTTGGCCAGAGAATTTCCAAGTGGGGGAAGGGTATTTATTGGATACTGCTTATATTAGGACTCTCTGGATGATTTATACCCTGCCTTCTTTAACCCATCAGAAATCCACAATATTGGGGAAATTAACTATGTTCAACACAGAGTAATATTCCCCATGGGCAGCATCCAATCTGAGCACTCTGATGTGGGGTACTGTGATCTTTTGAAGCCGAAAGCCATCTTTATACACATTTTAAGAACAAAAGGAAACCCACACGCAGAAACATCACCCATATTCTTCACTGTGAGGGTGGTAAGGCATTGGAACAGGTTGTGGGTGCCCCCTCCCTGGAAGTGTTCAAGGCCAGGCTGGATGAGGCTTGGAGCAACCTGGTCTAGTGGAAGGTGTCCCTGCCCATGGCAGGGAGGTTGGAACTAGAGGATCTTTAAGGCCCCATCCAACCCAAACCATTCCATGATTCTGTGATATAGCATACTGCAGCAGTTTGTTGACACAACTGCTGACAGTGGTACTATGGGTTAGACAATCTGCCAGGACTATAACCCAAAATGGGGTGGGATACTGGTCTAGGTATGGAAATAAGTTCTGTTTCCACTGTGAATGAGTACAAATATTACACAATGTTGCTGGGAGACACCCTTGCCTGCCCAGCATGGCAATCATCTTTCATCAGTTAGTGTCACCTAGAGCACAGATGTTCCAGGTGGTCCAGGTGGCTCCTCATTCCCTTTACCACACTCAGATCTGTGCTGCTGTGAGTCACATTTGTAACAAAAGTCACTCTGAAACAGTGCTGCTCACTTGAATTGGTCTGCTGCAAACCTCTGGCTGTAGCAGCTTATCCAGAAGTTGAGTCTAGTAAGGAAAAAAGGTTGTGAAGTTCCAGCAGGTCGTTGAACAGAAATATTCAGTCCAAACTACGAGCACTTTCTGAGAAGCCTGACTAGGTGGTGTGTTGGCACCAGTCCACTTAAAAGTGCAAAATTGCACCCGTAGGGCTGTCAGCATGCCCTACAGTGACTGTGTGGTGAAAGGATTTGGTAACACACTTTAGAGAGATCCATGATCCCTGTGAAGATTTCTGTTGTGTATGAATATCATGGTTTAGGCCCAGACAGCCACTCAGCACCACGTGGCTGCTCGCTCACTCCTGCCCCTGGTGGGATGAGGAAGGGAAAATATAATGAAAAGGTCGTGGATTGAGACAGGGAAAGGAGGGATCACTCACTCGTTATGGTCACAAGCGAAACAGACTGGACTTGGAGAAAAATCAATTTAATTTGTTACCAATCAAATCAGAGTAGGACAGTGAGAAAACCAAATCTTTCCCCCTTACCCCTCCCTTCCTCCTGGGCTCAGCTTTGCTCTGGATTTCTCTGCCTCCTCCCACCAAAAGTGTAGGGGGACGGGGGTTGTGGTCAGTCCATCACACATTGTCTCTGCTGCTTCTTCCTCCTCGGGGCAGGGAGAGCATCTCACACTCTCCCTCTGCTCCAGTGTGGGATCCCTCCCATGGGACACAGTCCTCCACAAACTTCTTTGAGATGGCTCCTTCCCATGGGCATATGAACTGCTCTGGCGTGGGTCCCTTCCAAGTGTAGGGGGACGGGGGTTGTGGTCAGTCCATCACACATTGTCTCTGCTGCTTCTTCCTCCTCGGGGCAGGGAGAGCATCTCACACTCTCCCTCTGCTCCAGTGTGGGATCCCTCCCATGGGACACAGTCCTCCACAAACTTCTTTGAGATGGCTCCTTCCCATGGGCATATGAACTGCTCTGGCGTGGGTCCCTTCCGTGGGGTGCAGTCTTTCAGGAGCAGCCTGCTCCAGCGTGGGCTTCCCACAGGGTCAAGGGCTTTTTGGGCACAGCCGCCTGCTCCGGTATGGGGTCCTCCCCGGGCTGCAGGGGGGTCTCTGCTCCACCCTGACTCTCCATGGCTGCAGGGCACAGCCTGCCCTCTCACCACAGGCTGCCCGGGAACCTCTGCCCTCGGCATCTCCTCCTTGCCTTTCCTCAAGGACCTCAGTGTCTGCCCTGCCTCTCCTTTCCACCCCTCTCTCCACTGCAGGTTTTCTTCCCCTCTTAAATATGTTATCACAGAGGTGCTGCCACCATTGCTGATGGGGTCAGTGTGGCCAGAGGTGGGTCCAACTTGGAGCCAGGGAAACTTCCAGCAGCTTCTCACAGAAGCTGTCCCTGTAACCCCTCCCCTGCTACTAAAACCATGCCACATAAACCCAGCTCAATGAATAACCCAGCAAAGAAAAACCCACAAACCACCATGAATATGTCTATAGGAAGCCACACTGATGGCAGTTCTCTGATCTGTGCAAGGGAGCTGACTAGATCACAACAGCACAGGCAGCCCTATTTGCTCTTTC